GTGATTTATAAACCACATCTCTCTCTCTCTCTCTCTAAATGTTCAAAATTGAATAAATTAAAATTGTGATAATAATTTAACTGTTATAAAATTAAAAGTTTACTACTTTCGTGCATCATAATTATGAATTACACGTAATCTACTGTAACTATCATTTGTCACAATTTTTACATAATTTAAACTAGCTCTTTTGGTATTGAGTATAAATTAACAAACGAGAAGCATCATTCATTTTTGAATAGTTTATTAAAATAATATTGATTATACAAAGTTAAAACAATATTCTACAATGTAACAAATAACTAATTGATTGTTCAACGTTGTCGGTAATTAATAATTACTATAATTACTAATTATACATGTTTCATATGGTAATAGTCTAGTCTTGGTCGTCTACTTTAGGTTTCCTAACATGTTTATTACCTGCACCGCCACTCGCATGACGTGTCTTCATCGCCGCATTATGTAGCTCATCACGTTTCTTGATCTGCTTGATACCTTTCCTGCCCCTGCATTATGTGCGCCGTTTTTTTTCAGCTCCAACTCTACCTTGATTTACGTTTCCACTTTTGCTACCAGTTTGGTCATCTTCATTATAAGTGCTGCCCGTCTCGGGTTCAGCTGTAGGTATTTATAAGACTAATCATATGACATATTTGTATATAAACTTTATATTTTACAAATTAGAGTATATTTTTATACATACCAATTGGATCAGCCAAGACGGTGGAAGTGGTGATGATCAATACGATTACAATTACCAAGATTATTTCTGAACGCATTTTATTGATTTGATTGTTTTATACGTTTTATAGTTTATAACTGATATGTGTAATTGTGTGGTTATTTTATGAGACAATTAATTGCCAATATGGCTTCCAGATGGTTTAGGTAGAAACAAATTAATATACATATAATGTATATTTATATAATTCATAACAAACGTTAATTACTGGAGAGTTGCATATTTATTTGTAAAACAATATGACAAAATCCTCGTAGGTAGTGGTATGGGTGGATTTTTTTACTTTCTTAAGCAACATATTTTTACATGCTACTATTATTTAAAGTATTAATTATAAATAATTTGTTAAATAAATGATACCTAGATCAGATCATGCATTGCAATGTTATAACTATAAATGTGTGCACGTTATTACTGTATGAATCTTAAAACATATACAGGAAATTGTGCCTCAAAATCAATTAATTCATAAACAAAATCATGTTTATATTTTGTCACCACAAATAAGTTTATTAAATTAAATCATGTATAGCCATGGCGTCGGTGGAGCGCACGGGTATACCCTGGGTATAGGTTTACTGTTATAATCCACTGTTTCAGTTTATTTATGATAGGACACTTCCATCAAGGTATAAACGTACAAGGTATGCAAATATGTTTTGTTGTTTAATTTTTGCATATTCATTTATATAACGATATAAATTTACTTTCTTATAAATAGCAAATTTTGAAATTTTAATTACATTAAACTTTTATTTGGTTTACTTTTAAGTTATATTATTTAACTCATAATTTGTGCATAACAATTTAATATAGTACACATGTATTATTACTTTACAATAGTAATACTAATTAAATAATAAGCGTTATTTGAATATGAGTAGATAAAGAATAAGTGCTATTTTAGTTCAGGTTTGCAATGAAAGTAAAAATAAAATAGCAGTAAATATAAATATACAATAAACATGTTTATTTGTAAAATTGTTACATTAATACAAATAGGTTAAAAATATTGAATTATATATTAATTGCATTTGTTAATTAAAATTTATTGTAACAATGATTTGTTGATTAGCAAAAAATATAAATTGCATTAATAAATATGCTAGATTGTACATTTGTGGCACTTAAATAACCTTGCCAATACTAAATAAATATTACACTCAAACTTTATATCAATGATCACTTAAACATTAAGATTGTAAGTTAATTAATATTATTACACAGGACTGATAAGTACTACAGTACTTATATACAGCTAAATCTTTGTCGAGAGAAAAGTATATAAATAGAGTAAAACTGCAAAAATTCATATTAACTTTACTGTTATATAAATTGCAACTTTAATTCTTATCATAAATATTTATTTCATAATAAATATTATTATCTAAAAATTATTTCAACAAATATTAACTCAAATTAATATCTAATAAAATGCCCAAACAGTCATTGAAAACGCTATGCATTCCGGTGGACGGTATCGGACACGTGAACGCATGCATTGGTATCGCTGAACAGCTAATAACGGCCGGACATCGGGTGTCGTTCCTCATGAACACTCAATGGGAGGGCAAACTCAAACACTACGGTATCGACGAAATACTATACCCGCCACTACAGGGACGTCAAACCGGTAGCAACCCTACACTAGACGGGGCTAATATGTTGCGAAGTTTTGGTATTAACCGTGCTAAACAACGGCTTGGACTGTTTTTAAAGTTTAATTTTTAAGATAATTGAGTAATTGATTTAATATAAATTTAGTGTGATGAAACCGTATTTATCCGAGTTCAATTTTATGTAATGATATAATTTTAATATTAAATGGTTTAAAAAGGGCGAACATATTAAGACAATGATGTCTTAATTGACTTTGGCACAATTATAAAATAATACTAGGTATAACTTGTAGTTTCCAAAATATAAACAAAAATTATGTTAGATTGCAACATTTATGATAAATTAAATCTTTATTTATTGTTATTTCAAAAATCAACAATGATATATTCACCCAAAGACACCTAAACTATAACAAGATTTGTTTTAATTTAGTGGTAAACAAATTATAGCAAAAAATCATTTTTCAACGTTAAACTCCATTGAACTTTACATTGATTTACTATAAGTGCCAAAATAGATTTAAACATTTGTGCCTTAATATGAAGAAAAAATTTCCAAATGGCATTAAGTATGAATCATAGATATAGTCAATTATTAATACTAAATATTATGATTAATAGTATAATAGTGGTATAATATGGTATAAACTGTATTTACTGTATAATTAAATGCAAAAATTTTTATTTTTTGTAAATAATAAATTAAATAATTATCAAAACAATTGTACAAAAATATGGATCAAAATTTCTATAATAAAGTGTTAAAGAAATCAAATAATTTTCCCAATCAATCGACACCTGTTTTAGTAATTAATAGTGAATTAAATGATAGAAAAAATCAAAAGGGTATTAAACGTCAAAAATTTGAAACCCTTTGGGCAAAAAACATAAGAAAATTTTTGAAAAACTCGGTAATTATTGGTCAAAACGTTTTAAATATAATTAATATCATTATAATATTAAATTTATTTATAGCAAAATGATTATATCAATTGCAAAGGCAATGAACAAAAGGGAAAAACCTTTCAATTGGTTACCAATTGTTGCCCTAATTGTTGTCATGAATTAGTATCAAACGATTGTCAAAACGATGCATTTAACAGGTATTTAAAGTTTCTATATAATATAATTACATGATTATTATAATAACTAAATTATAAGAATATTCTGTGTATTTTATTAGATATTGTGCATTAAGTTCGACTACTTTTCAATGGGAATATTTAGCTAATCGTATGAATCGTATACTAAATAAACACAATACAAATGGACGCTCAGTTTGGGAATATTTTTTTAATAATAATGGTTTTAAAACAAAAGTCTGTCAAAAGTTTTTACTAAATTTATACCAAAAATCACAAAAAAAATTATTTGATATTCAAAAGGATATAAAAGTTGACAAAAAAGTTGGCGACAAAAGAGGTTTACAAAATATGGTTAGAATTAAGAGTAATGTTTGGCAATATTTCAGTAAATTTTTGACCACAATTCCAACTAAAAAATCTCATTATACAAATAGTGATAAATTATATTTTAAAGATCCCACATTAAATATTAAAAAATTATATAAATTATTTAAAGATTATTATATAAAAAAGTGTAAAATTATGTTAAAATTAAGTTATAATACATTTAGAAATTATTACAACAAGAATATAAATTATAGGTTTAGTCCATTTCAAATTGACAAATGTAATTACTGTACTATGTATGAAAAAAATAGAATTGAAAAACACTTATACAGAATCCATATGTCAAAAGTTAATGAATATAGGAGATTAAAACGTGAATTAATAAATAATAATAATTGTTTAGTTGTAGAATTCGATTATAGCGCAAACAAGCCTTGTCCAAGATTAAATAATAATGCATTTTATTATAAAAGTAAATTTCATTTATATTTATTTAATGCATATGTTCATAAAACACGTTTTAATTTTGTATATCATTCACTTGAGGGACAGTTTATAAAAGGGGCAAATTCTGTCTGTAGTTATATTTTTCATTTAATTAATCACTTAAATATAAATTTGAATTTTAAAAATTATAATAATCTAATATTTATGTAGGATGGATGTGGGGGTCAAAACAAAAATTGGGTATTTGTTAAATTTTCAATATTTATTGCTATTATGTTTAATATAAAAATTACACACATATTTCCTATAGTTGGCCATTCATACAACATTTGCGATACAAATTTTGGTCAAATAAGTAAATTATTTGAAAATAAAGTAATTGAAGTGCCAACAGATTATTTAAATGAAATTCATAAATGTAAAAAATTTACATTAGTTAATACAGATGTTATGGATTTCAATAAATTATTCTTTAAATATTTTAAAATAAATAGAAATATTAAACTCAAGAATATTTAAAGAATAGACATTAACCCAAATGGTCAAATACAGGACGTCCCAAATTAAGGGTAAAAGTAGGCTTTGCCTCTATGTTCCCATAGACATTACATTACAGTTTACCCTCGTTTTACCCTCATTTACCCGCACTGGGAAACGTTGGTCAAATATATTTGTCTGAAACTTTTGATATTAGTAAAAATTCCTATAATATTTTGAATTCAAATATTACTAATATTAAAAATTGTGTAAATAATTTAGAAATATCTCAAAAATCAAATGTATGTTTAGAGAAAATTCAAGAAATTGAAAGTTTATACGATTATATCGATGATAATAATGTAAAATTTTATAAAGAATATTTTAAACAATTTAAAAAATAAACATTTAATCACTTTAAAATATAGAAAATATTTTAAAACATTTTATTCATAATAAATATAAGTTTATGAATCATACTTAATGCCAATTGGAAGTTTTTCGTTCATATGTTCGCTATTTTTAAACCAGGTGATATTAAAATTATATGATTACATAAAATTGAACTCAGATAAATACGGATTCATCACACTAAATTTATTTTAAATCAATAACTTAATTATTTTTAAAAATAAACTTAAAAACAGTCCGAGCCGTTGTTTAGAAACGATATTAGTTCAGCCGGGCCACTTGACACCATGGTGGCCTGGGTGACCAAGTTCGTCTCACATTGCATACGGGATTCCCGGCTTATGAACCCAATTGTTAATAAAGTAATTACTGATTTACAGCCCGATGTAATATTTATTGATGAGGTGGTGGCCATGGCCTCAGTAGAGCGCTCGGGTATACCCTGGAAATGGGTTTCCAGTTTAATTTACTGTTTCAGTTGTACGACGAGCGCACACCACCTCCCGGCTCAGGTTAGCAACAATTTGTTATGATTTAGTTTATCTTGTTGTTCATACTTTTTAATCAGTTATGTAAAAAATTTTAAGTTAATTGTTAAAATTTAAGTTTATAAAATATTTATAAGTAGATAAATAGTTAAAAATTAAGATTAAATAATAATTTTAATTTGTAATATAAAATATGTTACATATAACAAGGAAATGTTGGATTTTATGTTTGAGAAAAATTGTTACACATATTTATTACTAATAAGTTATTAGTATTATATAAAGTTACTTTATACTGTATCTCAATTTATAATCTAAAATTACATTCTTTCCTATTCATACCATAGGTTTAGCAGCAAATGGTGACCGTAAAGAGTGGGCGCACTTCAGGCATACCGTAAACGATGCCATTAAAGACATATGGCGTGAGTTTAATGACTATTTTGTGAGCAATGGTTTACCACCACTTGATTACGGCCAGTATGTGCGCCAACCAACACATCTACACATATACCCACTGCCCGTTGAACTGGACTACACAGACCTGAGACCAGTGCNATTTTGTGAGCAATGGTTTACCACCACTTGATTACGGCCAGTATGTGCGCCAACCAACACATCTACACATATACCCACTGCCCGTTGAACTGGACTACACAGACCTGAGACCAGTGCCCGACCGTTGTTTACAGTTGGACAACTTGATGCGTGAAGATGTGCACCCTACTTTCACTTTACCTAAACAACTTTCCAATAAGCCAAGCAAATTGATCTACGTAGATTTAGGTTTTATGGTATTGTCAGATCTAGATTTAATGGCAAAACTGGCCAAATATAAGCACTGGTTTATTGTATCAAGAGGTCCGCATCATGATAAGTATAAGTTGCCGGGTGCTGATATGTGGGGCCCACAAACTGTGCCTCAGATACAAGTGCTGCCATTAGTGGATCTGGTAGTAATACATGGTGGTAATAATACAGTTACCGAGACTTTATAATCTTTATTATAATAAGCCAATGGTTGTGCTGCCAGTGTTTGGCGGTCAGTTTGATAACGCACAGAGACTGCATGAGTCGGGCTATGGTATACGACTGGATGCCTACCGGTGCTCTGAGGCCGAGTTGTTGTGCGCAATCGGTAAGCTGTTTGACGGTAACGAATTGAAAGGAAAGTTTGTTAAAATAGCTACAAGAATACAATCAGATAATAAAATGTCACAAGTACCAGGGTTGATTGAACAATTTTGCAGCGGGTATACAAAAGGAGCATAAATAAATTTATTATGCAATTAAATAAAAATTTTTATTAAAATTAATAAAAATGAAATCTATTACTTATAAACAAAATACACAATTAATAAATTCATTTTATAGTTATAAATAACTTTAAAATAAAGTTTTTCTGCTTATTTTTGGTCAAATTTTATGACATTCATCTTACGATTATTTCAAAATAAGTATTGTCAATGTTTTTACCTTAATACGTTAATTGTTATTTATAAACTACATTGTACATCTCAAGGTGATGTTAGGCTGTATTACTTGCATACATGTATATGTTGAATATTAATAAATTTGTTTTACAAACTAATGTTTTATTTAATAACCTGATAATTTGTTTCACTTCTCCATTACCGCAAACCTTATGGTAATCTTTTATATTATATTTCATATAAGTCTATTAAATTATTATAAAGTTTTATATTTTCAACATTTATATTGTTAATTATGAATTTAAATAATGCTATGATGTTTAGAAAATAAAAATATTTAAAGTAGTAAGAGTGCCGTACGATTTTATTGCCATACAATACGCTTTATAGCGGTACGATATGTTGGCTTACAAAACTTAAAAAGGGGTTGCCAAAACAACCAATGCTTATCAATTGTCTCTCCTGGCTGGGGGCAAGACTAATCAACGGTACCTCCTATTAATTGAGGCAAGGCATACCAAGGGTAACCCTATTATTGGAGCAAAACTTAACAAAATATACATGTTATCAGATTTACCAGGATATACACATTTTAGGAATACCAAGCTAACACATTTTTTTTGAAAACAAGGCTTACCAAAGCTAAGGTGCCATACGCCATTTCACTTTTGAAAATGTCTATCTTTGTAAAAAATTTGATATTATACTATCGGCATACAGTATTCATTAACACTGTAATAAATTTCTCAAGGAATGGGCGCTTGACAAGAAGCAAGTTACAATTAATGCAACGGTAACATATAGATCTCAGTTTTACAGCGCAGTGGTTGCAAAAACGGTTATAACTATAAGTGCTTTTAGGAATTAATGGATCTTGATACACCAAATTTTTCAAATATCCAATATCCAAATGCCATTGCAAAACAATTTAAGTAAATTGATGTGTAGATTTGAAAATTATAAGCTCAATAGAGGCTGATAGGCAGATAAACACCTAAGAGCGTACATCAATCATGTTGTGCTAAGATATTACAAAAATTGTATTTTAAGAACTGCAATTTTAATGAGCAAAAAATGTTCAAGATTAACGGCAAAAAAGGTACATTATATATTTTTAAATTCTAAAATTTAATTACATTTAAAACAAATTTTGGTTTAATTATTGCTATTTTGTTTTCAAAATCACATTATATTTCAATACACATTCCTACAAAATTGATCCTAAGTTTAAGAAAATTGATTTTACGTATTGAAATTTTTGCTGGAGTTAAAAATGTCTAAATTCATAGCAAACATTGTACATTAAATATTTGTATAGTATAAAATTTGGTCACATTTTAAAAAATAAATAAATTCATTTTTGACATTAAAATTTATTATAAATAATATATCGGGTGTACATTATTCTACTATAACATTTCAAAGTCGAATATCTCGAAAAGTATTCGGTCTAGAAAATTAAATAATATATCAAAATACTCATCAACTGCGGGAGTTTTTGTTATGATATGGTCAATATGCTTGACCTCATACTATAGAAGTAATCTCAAAACTACAAAATTTTTGCCATTTTGTCCATAGACACAATGTTAAATTCAAACTTATTTTTGAGAAAAATCCTAATATAGGTATCAAGTTAGTTTTGCTCTTGTTTAAGAATATGTAATCAAAATTATTGTGCTGCATGTAGTTTTTAGTTAATTAATGATTTTCAAATATTTAAGATATATAGAGGTTATTTTAAAACTGTTGCGTGTCGGATTTTGATCACCATTTGGGAACAGCTGAAGTGACACTATTGTCACTTCACAAATATATAGTTCCATAGCCGGAAATATTTTGCACATACAAATATTATTGGTCACGTGACTATATTATTGTGAAAATGGACCATTCATCAGACTATAGACAAAATGGCAAAAAATTTGGTAGTTTTGAGATTACTTCTATAATATGAGGTCAAGCATATTGACCATATCATAACAAAAACTCCCGCAGTTGATGATTATTTTGATTAATTATTTAATTTTTTAGATCAAATACCTTTCGAGATATTCGACTTTAAAATGTTATAGTAGATTAATGTACACCCTGTATATACATTGTATACAATATGCTTGTGTTGTTTATTAACCAATAATTTTATATAATAGTAATGTTAAGTTTATATGTTATGGTATAACAAAAAATTTTCTATTTACAATGATTAGCACTTTGGGTATTAATACATTTGCGGTAGTTTAAATGTATTATTAATCTTCTTCAGAATCATTTATATTCCAATTGAATTTTAAACGTTTGTTTGAATTAGCAGTTTTTATGTATTTTAAAAATCCTGTATTGACAGAATTGACATCAATTACAATAATATCAAGTTGTTTTATTTTTTTGCGTTTCATTATATAAAGGATAAAGTTCAATGTAAATAGGTAAAATGCCAAAAATTTTATATTTAAAAATTTTATTTTTTTTAAATTTGCGAAATTAACTATCGTTGTAAGCATAATTAAAATTGATATAAATGATGTTCAGTAATTACGTTATTCAATATAAAAAACGTACATAACTGATACTAAATTTCTTAATTTTGACATAACTTTTATCGATTATGTTAGATATGAGAAATTCCTTCGGATCTCGATTTTACTCAGCCATACCTTTCTATTGATATATAATATGATATGGTTATTTATTAAATAAAAAATTTGTTTGTCAAAATTTTGCCGATAAAAGTGGTCACTGCGGCCAAACCCGAAGTCGTCTGGCCAAATGAACTATATCACCATACTTCTTTCAGAGTGTACTTTCGATTTTTAACAATAATTCCCGAATGCACTCTTGGCAGTTTTTGAACATTATTATTTATTTAACTATTTTGTTGTTTCAGCTGATAACTTTGCATGATTAGAATCATTTATATATTCATTAATTTTTGACGTTGATTTATTATGTTGTCTTTTAAGCTGATTTGTTTGTATTGGATACCTAGATTCAGTTATTGTTTTATTTATTTAAGACATTGATAAGATTATTTTAATATTGAATGTATGCTGATTAACAGGCTTATTAAAATGTAAAGTATTTACAAAGCTGATACAAAGCGTTATAATTTTGCTGTACAATTCTATTTAGTCTAGCTTTAATAGTTTCATTAACGATTAAAATGAGATCAATATAAGATCAATATAATTAATAAATAAATTCATTTTCTCCAACTAACAATAGCTTATTTACTAAACAGTGATTTAACAATTGAATTATATCTATATTTTTATTAATAATATTAAAAATATCGTTAAATCAATTATTTAAATGCTAATTTTTAAACAATAGCTATTACTTTTTGAATTTTATTCAACTCGTTATCATTACTAAAATATTTCTAAAATACTGTACTGCCTGTGCCCAATTGAACAGTATTAACACTACAAAATTCTATTATGAATAAAACAAAATTATTAACTCAAAATTTAATAAATAGAATTATCACATATAAAAGTTATTGAATTTGAAAAATATTTAACTAATATGTTGGTCGGATAGTTACCTAAAGTTTCCAAATAAGATTTGTTTAATTTAAACTACGGGTGGCCATCGCCGCCGCACCGTAAATAGCGTTATAGTGAATGCATCGTTTTGTTCGGGGACTCGCTAGCACTGGCCAGTGATTATCATCAATGTTTATGGTATAAAATTTCTACATTTGATGTGTGGCTATATTTTAAAATAATGATTAATGATTTCCTTCCACACACTCTCCCGTTCCAAGCCTAAAATAAACATTTCACATAATTCTTTTCAATACGGGTTTTAAAATGCGGGTCGGTTATATGTCTGGAATAAGAGAGTGTGTGGTGGGAAATCATTAATCAGCTTCAATTCAAATGATAGCCACACATCAAATGTATAAATTCCATGACATAAACTTAGATGATAATCATTGGCTAATACTAGCGGGTCCCCTAACTAAACAATGCATTCACATTAACGCTATTTACGGTGCGGCAGCGATAGCCACCAGTAGGGAAAATTTCACAAATCTTTTTTGAAAACTTTGGGTAACTATCGGACCAACATATTAGTTAATTATTTCTAAAATACAATAACTTTTAGATATGATAAGTCTATTTATTAACTTTTTTGGTTAATGTAATTTTATTTCACTATACATTGAATTGAATGTAAAACTAGTGGGGCAATAATTTTGGAACTGAGTGTAAACTTTCATCAAAGACAAGTATCATTTTTCTTGATTAAATCATTTTAAGGATTGCATAAGTGTTGACAACAATTTATATTATCGACGGATGAAAACCACCAGTTTGATGAATTAAATAAGTTTTACGATATTTGCCATCTTTCAATGTTAAAATAATTTATATAAGTGGTGAATGCTTTATAACTACTCTCTATTAGCCGTTATTTAAATCCATATTATTTAAAATAATAGTTTTAATACATGACAAAAACTGGACTATTTAAAAACCCATTTATGTACATTTATTTGCATTTAAATTTGAACATTTTTTTAGCTAAAATTGCAATACTTAAAGTCACTTTTGAAATAATCAATATTTTGGAATAAACATTATAATTTATTAATAAATATTTTATTAAAAATTAGCTTTATATTTTAAAAATACAAGTTATTAGAAGGCTCTGCTATCGCACAATATCTATGCACTGTGTACACATTGTCTAAATAACATATAAAAAAGGTTAAACATCTAGATTAAACACATTGTACACAATCCATATATATTATTTATAATAAA